CCCTAATGCTAGGAAGGGGACAACAGAGGATGAGATGGTTGGTAGCATCACTGACTCAATGGACATGAATTTGATCAAAGTCCAGGAGACAGTCAAGGACAGGGAAGCCTGGCACACTGTAGTCCGTGGGGCTGCAAAGAATCAGACACAACTTAGCGACTGAACACACACACAAATGAATGAAAAGGAGGAAGCTGGGCCGGGAGACAAGTTCCACAATCACACTAGAAGGAAGAACAGCAAGTGTCTAGGTCAGGGGAGAAAGAATTGAGGTGGCAAGAACATAAAACAAAGATTATATTGCTTTGTTCTAAAGTTAGGTGATTTTTATTTCAATCACTTACCATACTAACATATTCTTTGGAAGATTTACACTTCACTACATGCAAAGCAATTAAAAATCTATCTCAGGAGTAGTGGAAATAAGAATTCTTAAAATGCTGTAACACTGTTGTCAGCTCTAGTAGATCTGTATCTGTAACATCTAAAAATATTATAAAACCCAAAAAAAGTTGTTTCACAGGACTTAGGCTTTAAAGTTAGTAGATTAGTGATAAATAAAATATATTGCTAACAAAAACATTTATATTATCAGTAACTTTGTTTACTTAAACTTCGATACAAGATTATAAATGAATGGCCTTTGGAACATGTCTTATTTTCAAAGTCATATTTTGCCTGATCTCTGGCCAGTAAAACTCTTTTCTAATTATTTAAGATATTTTGTTTTGTTTTCAGAATAAGCCCATTCTTATTACATACATCTTTATAATAAATTTCAAATTTTCTGTTTCTAAAATAGTTTCATTTATTAATTTATGTGTTAAATTCATTTATTCATTGATTCACTCTATCTTAAAAGTCAATTCATTTATTCATTGATTCCCTCTATCTTAAGAGTCACTATGTACAACATAATGTAATAGGGCTGAAGATTTTGTGAGTAAATTAGAAAAAATAGTTCTTTTTTTTATGAAGTTTAGAGTTTAGGGATGATGGCTACATGGAACATGTAAATTCAAATAGAAGGAAAGTTAACAAGTTTTACTGAAGTATATAATGAGGTTATTTAGTCTACTTTGAGGCATTACGGAATGGCCAGAGGACATCCAAACCTCATAAGCTTGTATGAAAATTTAAAACAATAATTGTATTTTATACTTTTACTTCACATGAATCTATATTAGAATTAATCAGAGTAATCAAACCCTTATAAAATTATTTTTAATGAAAGAAGCTCATTTTAGTTACCAGTTATCAGAAAGGAGATTGTGTAATTAATGTAATATTAAAAGCTAAAAAACTGGGATTCTTTAGAAATAAGATGTGGATAATTGCTTTTCTGGTTAATTGAGTGCTAAGGGTTTTTACTGCAATGTCACATTTGAACTGAAATTTTATTTTTTGGATAATCATGTACTTTAATGGGCTACAAGAATATAATCTGAAAGATCCTTCATTGTTCTTACTGTAAATGTAACATTTGGGAGGCAGGCATTCTAATCACCTTTTCATACAACTGAAAGAAAAGCCATGGTAGATAGTTTAAATATAGATGTACTTTAAATTTCTTTTTAAATTCACTCTTTGATTTGTTTTTTAGGTAGGACTGCCACCTGCTCTACTATTATTTAAATGTTGGCAGTGATTTAAACATAGGGGAAATTTTACAACGGGGACCTAACCCTTCTTATAAATCACCCCAGAGAACACATATTTTAGCTTGTCATTTCACAGGAAGATATTATTAAAAGTGAGCTTGGTACAACACGCAATTCAAAACAAATTTGTTGCTGATGCCTTCAACATGCATTACATTTTCATTAGTTGCTGATAGAGGTGGAGGTGGGAAGTAACACTAGCTGATTCATCTGCCTAAATGAAAATTGCTTTCCCTTCAGCTAAGAGCAAGTCAGCTGTTTTTCTTCATTAATACTGGATGTGTGCATTTCTATGCGAGCTCTTCTCTGCTAATGGGTATAGGAATGATAGATTCATCGGTTAGACACAATGGTGGAACATAGTTATTGTGTTAATTTTTGTCCCTAAGAGGTCTTTCACCAAGTTTTAAAGATAGTAACATTTTTGAAACACCACTAACACACTTGCCTTTCCTGCCCCCTCCCCTCCCCATCTCTTCCTCCCACCCTCCCTTCCCTTTCTCTTTTACTTAATAAATCCCATTGGTTCCCTATAAACAGATATTATTGAGTTTATTTGTATTCTTTTCCAATGATATTTTGGGGTGACTCTCAACAAAATGCATATCAAGTAATTTAGTAAATTAAAGGCACACTATCATGGTGAAGTCACATATATGTGAAATGAACATGGTCACTGAGTAAATCTGTAGTTTTGCCCAGTACTTCCTGGCATCCTGGCAAAAAGTAGAAAACAAATTATGTAGTTCTTATTACCAAAAAAGGAAGCAGTACACCATCATCTCAGAAGACAGAAAATTCTTCCTGTCATAAATTCCAAAGAAATTTCTCACATGAAAAATTATGTAGAAATGATACAATGCATACAACTAATGAAATAATTAGCAGCTATAAAACAAAGCAAAACAACGATCTCATCATGATGTTCCTTTAAAAATGAAGTGGATTTATTGTTGTTGTTTAGTCACTAAGTTCTATCCAACTCTTTTGTGACCCTACAGATTGTAGCTCACCAGGCTCCTCTCTCCATGGGATTTCCCAGGCAAGAAAACTGTAAGGGGTTACTAATTTCCTTTTCCAGGGGATCTTCTCACCTAGGGGTTGAAACTGTATCTCCTTGCATTGGCAGGTGGATTTTTTACCACTGAACCACCAGGGAAGCCTGAAGTGGATTTATCATTTACTTAAATCCTTACCTTTTGTCTGGGTTCTAGGGCCATTATATAAAGAGTTAATATACATGGCTTAGGTGAAAACACCCTAATTTGGGTTCCATTGGTACATAGTAGTTTTAAATTTATACATACCTCAAAAGGTCAATTGTTATCTACATAGTAAAAATGTAAATAAATTTTATTTCCCAGCATACATCTCTTACATTTAAAAAAAAAAACCTTAGTAAATTTCCCTATTAAAAACAAAATATAGTTATATTTCAAGCACAATTATTCTGTGCCAGTACTATGGAAGCAGTGACAGATTTTATTTTCTTGGGCTCCAAAATCACTGGGGACAGTGACTACTGTCACAAAATTAAATGATGCTTGTTCCTTGAAAGTAAATCTATGACAAACATAAACTGTGTTAAAAAACAGAGCTATCAGGTCCATATAGTCAAAGCTATGGTTTTTCCCAGTAGTCATATATGGATGTGAGAGTTGGACCATAAAGAAGGCTGAGCGCTAAAGAATTGATGCTTTCAAACTGTGGTGCTGGGGAAGACTCTTGAGAGTCCCTTGGACTGCAAAGAGATCAAGCCAGTCAATCCTAAAAGAAATCAACCATGAATATTCACTGGAAGGATTGCTGCTAAAATCGAAGCTCTAATTCCTTGGCCACCTGATGTAAAGAGCCAACTTATTGGAAAAGACCCTGATGCTAGGCAAGACTGAAGGCAAAATAAGAAGGTGCTGGCAGAGGATGAAATGGTTAGATAGCACCATGTACTTAATGAACAAGAATTTAAGCAAATTCTGGGAGATAGTGTAGGACAGGTGAGCCTGGCTTGCTACAGTCCATGGGGTCACAAAGAGTGGGACACAACTTAGCGACTGAACATCAATAAGACATTTGAAATCATACTGCACTGTAGGGACCACTGACTACCTGGAATGCTCTTGTGTTACAAAATAAAACAGTGAAAAACAAAACATATACCTGAGGAAATGACTTACATCTTTTACACTGACAGTAGATGGCAACTTTTTACAGTAATCTTTCTTTATCCTCCCACTTTATATGAAAAGAGATATATTTATAATACATTGTTTATAACCAGGCTCCCCTCCCCAAGTCCCGTACTAGACTCAATACAAGATTTAGAGCAGAGGGCTAGGGACAATAAAAAACAATAATTGAATCCTGACTTGTAGGAATGAGTCGCTTCTATCAATCACATATTTAGCACTCTACTTCAGTCTAAAAAATTAATATGACATATATGTCCCATTTTAAAGAGTATGCATGAGGGAAATTCTTATAGAATAGAAACTTAGCAACGGAGAAAAGTCTTCCTTTCCTAATAAATTTTATCTTTAAGATTATATCAGTAGGTGGCATCCACGGCAGTGGGTGGGGGAAGATAGCGGAGGTTGGTAAGGATACTGAGAGTACCGCCTGGCCAAGGAGAGCCTGTTGTGCTTCCGCTGCTCGAGTGTCAGGACACGGGGCAGTGCCCAGGGTACTCCTTGACTGGCTCTGAGATCAGCCAGCACTGCCACTACCGTGGCTACTGTTTTGGTGAAAAGCCAATTCTGACTCCATGTTGGAAAAGTTTCTCTGACTTGCTCTTCATTGGTTTTTTTATTATAATCATACATACTGGCCTGCCTCAGAGAACCCTGCTTCTCTGCCTGCTGGTTAAACTAAAGTGCCTTTGTTCAGAACCCCATTCACCTGCAGATGGCAGGAAGGAAGAAATTAACACATCCCCTGCCTGAGGCTTGCCATTCTAGGAGACATTTACAAGATTAACCGCCTTTTTGTTTCCTCGCCTCCCGCATTGCCGATCTATAACAGAACAAGGCATCCAGACCCCAGACAAGATGGTTATTTTGAGACATATCTTCTCAGGTCAGCACAGAAGGAGATGGACTGGGTAACTCTACCAGCTGGTAGGCGAGGGGCACTTCACGCTGTGGGGGCTTGAGGCTGAAGGTGGCTGGACCAGCCAGGAGGAGCAGTTGCTGCTGGATGCCATAGAGAAGTTCGGCTTCAACAACTGGGCGAATATGACTACTCAGGTGGGTGCTTCCTGAGCTCCCCAGGAAGTGATGGCCGAGCAGCAGCAGCTGGGCTACATGTTGCTGAGGGATGCCTACTAGACTGAGTGTGACCAGGATGCGGAGGCACTCGTTAGCTGGCTCTCCATCAACAACCACAACAATCAAATTGACGCACATGCACGTGGACATGCACACGCACGTGGACATACACATGCAGAAGCTCAAGGAGCGGCAGCAGCGCAAGACCATCACCCGTGACTACAACCTCGTGCCCACCTTCCTGGGCAAGGACAAGAAGGAGAAAGAGGAGATGGCAACGCACAAAGTCACCAAGGAGTAGAAGGAGCTACACCTGAAGCTGTGGTTGCTCTCCCGGTTCATGTCCTGCAAGTAATTCCACTATCTGTTCGAGAACATGCAGAAGGAGAAGAGGCTGTGTGCATCAAGATCCGGGAGCTGCAGTGGTCTCGGAGCATCAGCATCACGAAGATGGAGGAGGCAGCCGAGTAACGGGCAACCTGGCACAAGAGTGAGAGGCGGAAGGAGAACAAGAACCTAGGCAGCTCCAAGCGCGGCAAGGAGAATTGTAAGGAAGGCAAGCTTGCCGCCGTTAAGAACCTGCCTGTCTTCGAGCTCTTATCAGACTGCAATAAGGTGCTCTGCAGCTCGCTGAACCTCAGCCCCACATGCTATGTGACTGTGAAGGCCATCATCATCAAGGGCCACCTCCAGGAAAGGCAGAGCATCCCCTCCAAGAGCCACCTTCACAGCTACCTGGACAGCATTCTTAAGGATTTTAAACTTCCTCACTCAGGGAGAGTGGGTGGATATCCAGGGGTGCTTCCTGAAGCCAAGTTACTGTGAAAGATGGAATGATGGTATAAAGCTTACGCATCAAAAGGACCAGGGGAGGGGAAGTAGGGGAGAGAGGAAAAACTTTTTTCCCCATTGTTGCTCCTTTTTAAACAAATTGAGGGCTTATTTTAGTATATAAATTCTTTTTATGGTCCTCTGAAAAAGCAATAGTAACAATCTTAGGTTAAGGGGGAGACAAATACATGTGTATTTTATTAATAACTTCACCCTAAACATAGTACTTTAAGATGATTGCCTTTAAGTGTTCAGTTTGTAGAATATTATGATGAGATTGGGAAATTTCCTTTTATTTGTGTTTCTTCCCACTGGTATATAACTGCCGTGCTGTCCCTGTCTGGCTACCAGCTTCACCCTCTGATCTAAGATCCGCCCACTGCACCACAGCCATCCGTGACAACCGGAACAGCCACATGGCAGTTTAGGTGGGAACAGGACAGGGCCGGTGGGAGAGAGGCTGGGGAAGGGCAGGATGGGCATCCAAAGAGATTTGCAAAGAGGAATCTGGTATTGAACAATTTGGCCAAACAGAGCTTCCCCATGACCACTGGCAGTGCCAGAGTTTGAGCCTGGAGCCCTGAAATCCAACCACTGGGGAGCTCACCATGGGAGGCACAATGATGCTCAGCAGGCTCCCCAGGGTCTAGGGGGATGCAGGGCCCAGTGCAGACTGCCAGAACACTGAGCCTCCTCTCCTGGGGAGGCTGCTGCTCTTAGAACTTGTGTGCATTTTACTTGGAAGAACTCATTTTAGAAAGTTCACAACCAAGCATTCTCGCATTAGCTCCCTCCAGGGTTTTCACCCCACGAGCAAGTACCACTTTCACTGAGAATGGCCATGGATCTTACTTGAGTGGTGTGTGGCATTAGGCGCTTGGCTAGGCGAGGGCTAGAGGAGCCCCTGGAGGCATTAAATCCTGGGCACTGCTTCTTTGGTTCACTGTTTTGACCCACTCAGGGGTGTCTTTGCCCAGCCCTACTTAGAGATGTTCAAGGTAAGGAGCGGCGGCTGCACTTTGCTGGAGCAGCCGTGAAGAGATACCCCACGTCCAAGATAAGAGAAACCCAAGTAAGATGGTAGGAACTGAGAGAGGGCATCAGAGGGCAGACACACTGAAACCATCATCACAGAAAACTAGCCAATCTGATCACAGGACCACAGCCTTGTCTAACTCAATGAAACTAAGCCATGCCGTGTGGGGCCACCCAAGACGGACGGGTCATGGTGGAGAGGTCTGACAGAATGCGGTCCACTGGAGAAGGGAATGGCAAACCACTTCAGTATTCTTGCCTTGAGAAACCTATGAACAGTATGGAAAGGCAAAAAGATAGGACACTGAAAGAGGAACTCCCCAGGTCAGGAGGTGCCCAGTATGCTCCTGGAGATCAGTGGAGAAATAACTCCAGAACGAATGAAGGGATGGAGCCAAAGCAAAAACAACACCCAGTTGTGAATGTGACTGAATAGAGCAATATTGCATAGGAACCTGGAATGTTAGGTCCATGAATCAAGGCAAATTGGAAGTGGTCAAACAGGAGATGGCAAGAGTGAACATCGACATTTTAGGAATCAGTGAACTAAAATGGACTGAAATGGGTTGAGTTAACACAGATGACCATTATATCTACTACTGTTGGCAAGAATCCCTTAGAAGAAATGGAATAGCTGTCATAATCAACAAAAGAGTCCGAAATGCAGTACTTGGATGCAATCTCAAAAATGACAGAATGATCTCTGTTCATTTCCAAGGCAAACCACTCAATATCAGGGTAATCCAAGTCTATGCCCCAATCAGTAACACCAAAGAAGCTAAAGCTGAATGGTTCTATGAAGATATACAAAATCTTTTAGAAATAACACCCAAAAAAGATGTCCTTTTCACTATAGGGGACTGGGATGAAAAAGTAGGAAGTCAAGAAACACCTGGAGTAAAAGACAAATTTGGCCTTGGAGTACAGAATGAAGCAAGGAAAAGGCCAATAGAGTTTTGCCAAGAGAACGCACTGGTCATAGCAAACACCCTCTTCAACAATACAAGAGAAGACTCTACACATGGACATCACCAGATGATCGACACCAAAATCAGACTGATTATATTCTTTGCAGCCAAAGATGGAGACTCTCTATACAGTCAGCAAAAACAAGACTGGGAGCTGACTGTGGCTCAGATCATGACTCCTTATTGCCAAATTCCGACTTAAATTGAAGAAAGTAGGGAAAACCACTAGACCATTCAGGTATGACCTAAATGAATTTCCTTATGAGTATACAGTGAAAGTGAGAAATAGATTTAAGGGACTAGTTCTGACAGAGTGCCTGATGAACTATGGACAGAGGTTTGTGGCATTGTACAGGAGACAGGGATCAAGATCATCCCTAAGAAAAAGAAGTGCAAAAAGGCAAAATAGCTGTCTGAGGAGGTCTTACAAATTGCTATGAAAAGAAGAGAAGTAAAAAGCAAAGGAGAAAAGGGAAGATATAAGCATCCAAATGCAGAGTTCCAAAGAATAGCAAGGAGAGATAAGAAAGCCTTCATCACCAATCAATGCAAAGAAATAGAGGAAAACAACAGAATGGGAAAGACTAGAGATCTCTTCAAGAAAATGAGAGATACCAAGGGAATATTTCATACAAAGATGGGCTCAATAAAGGACAGAAATGATAAGAACCTAACAGAAGTAGAAGATATTAAGAAGAGGTGGCAAGAATACACAGAAGAACTGTACAAAAAAGATCTTTATGACCCAGATAATCATGATGCTGTGATCATTCACCTAGAGCCAGACATCCTGGAATGTGAAGTCAAGTGGACATTAGGAAGCATCACTATGAACAAAGCTAGTGGAGGTGATGGAATTCCAGTTGAGCTATTTCAAATCCTAAAAGACGATGCTGTGAAAGTACTGTACTCAATTTGTCAGCAAATTTGGAAAACTCAGCAGTGGCCACAGGACTGGAAAAAAGCCAGTTTTCATACCAATCCCAACGAAAGGCAATGCCAAAGAATGCTTAAACTACTGCACAATTGCACTCATCTCACATGCTAGTAAAGTAATGCTCAAAATTCTCCAATCAAGGCTTTAGCTATAGCTGAACTGTGAACTTCCAAATGTTCAAGCTGGTTTTAGAAAAGGCAGAGGAATCAGAGATCAAATTGCCAACATCTGCTGGATCATCAAAAAATCAAGAGTTCCAGAAAAACATCTATTTCTGCTTTATTGACTATGCCAAAGCCTTTGACTCTGTGGATCACAATAAACTGTGGAAAATTCTGAAAGAGATGGGAATACCAGACCACCTGACCTGCCTCTTAAGAAACCTGTATGCAGGTCAGGAAGCAACAGTTCGTACTGGACATGGAAAAACTGACTGGTTCCAAATAGGAAAAGGAGTATGTTAAGGCTGTATATTGTCACCCTGTTTATTTAACTTATGTGCAGAGTACATCATGAGAAATGCCATGCTGGAAGAAGCACAAGCTGGAATCAAGATTGCCAGGAGAAATATCAATAACCTCAGATATGCAGATGACACCACCGTTATGGCAGAAATTGAAGAACAAAAGAGCCTCTTGATGAAAGTGAAAGAGGAGAGTGAAAAAGTTGGCTTAAAGCTCAACATTCAGAAAACTAAGATCATGGCTTCCAGTCCTCTCTTCATGGCAAATAGATGGGGAAACAGTGGCTGACTTTATTTTTTTGGGCTCCAAACTCACTGGAGATGGTGATTGCAGCCATGAAATTCAAAGACGCTTACTCTTTGGAAGGAAAGTTATGACCAACTAGACAGCATATTAAAAAGCAGAGACCTTACTTTGCCAACAATGGTCTGTCTAGTCAAGGCTATGGTTTTTCCAGTGGTCATGTATGGATTTGAGAGTTGGACTCTAAGGAAAGCTGAGTGGTGAAGAATTGATGCTTTTGAAGTATGGTTTTGGAGAAGACTCTTGGGAGTCCCTTGGACTGCAAGGAGATCAAACCAGTCAACCCTAGAGGAGATCAGTCCTGGGTGTTCCTTGGAAGAACTGATGTTGAAGTTGAAACTCCAATACTTTGGCCACCTGATGCAAAGAGCTGACTCATTTGAAAAGACCCTGATTCTGGGAAAATTCAGGACAGGAGGAGAAGGGGACAACAGAGGATGAGATGGTGGGATGGCATCACCGACTCAGTAGACATGAGTTTGTGTGAACTCCCAGAGTTGGTTATGGACAGGGAGGCCTGGTGTGCTGCAGTTCATGGGGTTGCAAAGAGTCGGACACGACTGAGCGACTCAATTGAACTTATCTAGAGATGTTTTCAAGGGCACTCTTTTGTGGATGTGCATGGCACCTTCCTGCTGGAACTTGAGGAGTCCTTTGTCTTCCAGCAGCTGGTGGTTCTTATGCCCAAGGCCCTCCCCTAGAGTGGGTGGAGTGGCCACACACCTCCTCCCCAGGCTCATCCTGCTCTCCTCCCACATAGCTA